TGGTTTTCCGAGCCAGGGGATGTGTACGCGAACGTACAACAAACGGGGATTTGCTTGCAACGACTTGTTCCAATCGGTTGGTTTGATGCTCTGGTCACCATTTTGTTTGAATGCATGAGTTCAGCCAAGTGGGGTTGCTCATGGACTTGGGCAACGTTTGATGGCGGTTGTGTGAACCTCCGCCACGGTGTTTTGCTTGGCTGTGTCTGTTCTTTCTTTTGACCCCGCCCGCCCTCTCCTTTTTTTTGAAGGGTGTGCTTATTCGTTGCGACCTTTTAGGTAAGTTTGGGGTGGTTGGTTTCCTCCCTTTACTACCCTTGCACGGCTGGTTTGCTGTGCTGGACCGGGTCGCATTTCTCCCCACTCCAGGGTTGCGAGAGTTAAAAAGTGGCGTGTCCGGTGTGCAGAAGGCAATGTACTGCTAATGTGAGTCTTTCTTCCGGTTGGATTTGGTGCTTCACCCTTCTTAACAATTGCTAAGCACATCCCTGGTCCAACCTTGTTCCTTTTGGAAGAACAAGGTTTTGCTGCAGTCATAAGAACGGAATTGTAAACCATCGTAATTGAACAAATACACGCCACTTGTTCTTGGGGTGACATGACTTCCTACATGGCTTCCTCAAGCGCCGTGGATCCCGTTCAAGAAACGGTCGATGAACTCTTTGAGATGCTTGGAAAGGGGGAGGCCAGGACCAGATTCAAGATTCACGTTCATTATTAGGTGGACTTCCCGTGGCCTTCAAAAGCTTCTTCAGGCAAGTATGAAAAGGGTGGCTTCAATAGTTCGCCCAGATCTCAATCCAAGATGTGCCCCCCGAAAACGGGGTTGCGCTGATGCTGACAAGGTCGCTTGGACCAGCTTCCTCACAGCCTGGTTCCGCCACCTGTCAGCAGGGGTGGCCGTTATACACATCGGCGCAAGGAGTTCGATCGATTTCAGGCGAAGCGTATTGGATCTGGCAAATGCCATCCAGTGCAAGCAAACAAGTAGAGGAATGGGACCTGTACTCTGGAAGTGGGCTTCACGCCAACCGTGGCGCCACTTGCAAGCATCACCCTTTTATTAGTTATGTTCACTAAAGTCTTGGGAGAAGGAATCTTGACCTGGTAAGCCTGCCTAGGACAGTCTATGCCATCTGTCTTTGAGAACCGTGGCAAAAATGCGTTTCTTGTTCAAGCCGTTTGGTCACGGTCCCATGAAGCAAAATTCAGAACCATTACAATTGTGCAAAGGATCAAAATCGATGTCGAACCCTAGTGGCATTATATGGCATTTAAACAGTGGATGTATACAAACTCTTTCCTGTAGTCTGATCAGGCCTGGGAAGACAGCCACGGCACCGAGATCAAGACGATGTCCCAATGTATGTTTCTACCGCGCGAGATTGTGGGGTCTCTTCCCCGGAATCTCATCATGGGGGCGGAGGTGTGTGTGCGCAGGAATTTGGGCCCCTAATAGATGTTTTTTCCTAGCGTGCAGGACCTGGCAAAATATTGGGAAGTATACAAGCCGACAAGGTGGTATCGAAATCACCCGATCCTAGGAGCCACTCGTCTTAAAATGGTGCTTCCAGAATCAGACTAATGTTGATGTGGGGCCAAGTGTTTTTGCATTGCAACCTATTGGCTTACGGTAAGGACCCCTCCACAGAGCTCTCACGAGTCGTACCCATCCGGATATATGGGGATGGATGTGAAGCACAGAGTTTCTTGGAATTCCAGGCCTGTTTTCTTGATGTGTCCCATGAATGCCTCGTACGGGGGCCCAGGTAAACAAAAGTTCGAAGTCTTGACGCTCATATGCCCTGCTTCCGATTTCAAAGCGACGCTCGACACAAGATTTTTGAGCCTCGCTTGCATCGATGATCATCCATCGACAGAGCAGTTAGTATAGAGCGCTGCCATGATTCCATGGCACGTCGATCACTTTTCGGGATTTGGGAGAAGCTCAGGATTACCATCATCAATGCCACCTATGCCAACTCTGGCTGCAGGGATTTGGTTCTGCAATGGGTGCAGTGGTCATTGAATTGTTTAAGCCACTTATCTCTATACTTGGGGTTGGAAGGGCAATGTGCAAAGAAATTCCTCCAGCAAAATCTGTGCTAAACTTCAGCGTGCGCCAGGTGAAGGGGTCTATCCTTCTTGTGACATGGATGGAACGATGTTTTCATCTTCGCACGAGCCGGAGAGATTTCGACGTGCCGGATCTCAGGTTTTACCAGGTTTTGTTTGTATCCTTGAAGGGATACAGGCAGACCAGGATTTTTGCCGTGCTGCTTTTAAACTAGATCGTTACTATACGAAGAAACAGTGCTGCCACTATTGTGGAGTTCTTGGGTGGCTTTCCAGCAACCCGCGTCCTGGCGAAGCAAACGACCCCAACGACCTCTACACAGTTTATGGTCTTGCTGACGGGCAGCGAGGGACTTTTGGATTTTACCAAACACGGGAACTAGAAAACTAAACAAGAGTCTTCAGTAGAAGACACCAGTTGGTTCACACAAATGGCAAGCATGACATCCGAACATTCCAAACATAAATCTGCTGACAACCAACATGTGTATGTTCATTTTCTTCCCCTTTGACCAAGGATTATTGACAAGGACACTTTTGCCGAAATCAATGGACCAACCCCTTTGACCCAAGTGGTTGGTTTCGATCCGGAGTGTCGCTCGTTCTCATCAAAAAACGCAAGAGACGCGCAAAAACATGCATGCGATACACATGTTTTTCACCGTCCGGATTGTCGTACTCAGGCATCAAGCCAGATATAATGCACATTGTGCATCTTGCTCTGGCACCAGATGCAGCAGCCAGTGTGCTGCTTGATTTGACCGACACTGACATGTACTTTGAAGGGTCAAGTCGCGATGACAGACTTTACAAGATCTGGGTCTCCTACAAAACCTTTTGTGAGGACGAGCGCAGCTCGTCTCATGCTTTTCAAGTTTCAACCAATTTCGCTGCTGCGGAAACTGCGTGATTTTGTCATTTTTCTCCCACCTAATGTGTGGGGCCCTTCTTTTCTTTAATGAGGTATTCCGGATCGAGCAGCGCGACGCCTGTTCACAAATCAGATCCTCAATCCAGGGCGAGGAAAGTTTCCAGAGATTTCCCAGAAGGTCATATCAGCAATGGCCGCCAGATATTTGTTGTTCTGGATGTCCGGATTTCTAAGAGGCTTGGTACAAGCTGGGTTCTCTGAGGAGAGATTGATGTCTCCCATTAGCAATTGTGCAATACACTTGTGCCTCTTTGTTGTTTTTGCTTTTGTCTGGAAACATCGATCGCGATTTGGCCCAAGGTATAGCTCAGCGGCAATCGGGGCATTGGCTGCGATGGAACTGATCATGCTGCGGGAAGATCGCGTGCTGACAGAGCTCGCCTGCGCAGAGTTCAAACGCGCTTACTTGACCTTTCGGTCAGGTTTGAACTGGCTAGCAGAGGAAAGTTTGCAAAAGAGCCAGGCTCGTTGGAAACTCCGTCCGAAGATACATCAGTTGGCCCATTTGGCGCACGACTTCTTACCCATGAATCCGCGGACGTACAGCAACTTTTTGGACGAAGATTTCAACGGAAAAACGAAGCGTGTGGCACAGGCCACGCATCCGCTCTATATGAGCAAACAAGTTGCAGAGCGGTATGCTGTTGGCGTCACGCTCCGCTGGTCAAACCGAGGGTTGCGATGAAAAAGGGGACACGACGGGAGCACTGGCGCTGGGGTTGGCTGGAGCCAGTGAGTTGGCGATGGCTTTCTTGTTTGTTTTTCTGTTTAGTGCTGATTGTTTGCCTTTTCTTGAGGTGTGCGCGCACAGCGCAATGTTTTTTGACATATATATATATATAAATCATATAGTGGCTCAAGTTGCGGTCATTGCTGCACGCACTGCTCCACCGACAGGTATTGTAAGAGAAGGTGTTGATGCCGCCAGCAATATTGTTTGGAGAACTGTTTGATGTTTGGCTCTGTTGTTGCTTTGTTTTCTCGCAGGCTAGCCTTGGTAGCGGATGTTGTGATGCTTATGGGAGCGCTTTGGCCTCTCCAAAAAAAGTGCCAATTTCTAAGGGTACTTAAAACCATAAGCGGTGCTTATAACAACGTACCCTCGGCACGTCCTGGGACCAGATCACAGAGCTAGTAGGCGTAAAGCCGTGGAAGCTAAATCCGTCCGACGTGTTGCCGTTCTCTAGGCCTCGTTTCGCATGGGTTTCGTTCGCTCGACAGGATCTCCCAGGTCTGACTTGGGAAGACCGGGGCGCCTACTTCGAAGCCACATGCTCGGGTGGTTCCTTGGCCCTTGAACAGTGGCTCCGGCAGGGCTGGAAATGGGCGGGGGCAGACTCCGAGACTCGTTTTCCGACCTTTATGAAGTCAATCGTGCGACGGGCACCACCACCGGTTCCGGTCGGATTGGCTCGCTGTGACGAGGACACAATAGGTCGGTGGACAGCTGACAGCTATCGCTTCCCGCCTTACCAGTATAAAGGGTGCTTTGTTCTTTGGAGCGGTCACAAGTGGCGACTAGTGGACTCCACTGAAAGAGAGCTCTTGATGGGCTTCGGCTGGGGGCACACTGAACCCTGCTGGGGGGCAGGTTGGATTAAAGCGGATGCACGTGGTTATGAAGACACGAGGTTGTCTTTAATCGGAGATTCGTTCGCAATGCTCAGCTTCAGTTTGGTCTTGGCCTGTAGTTTTTCTTGGAAACCAGGGTCCTTTTCGGTGCAACACTTGGTCAATGGGTTGGGTCTAGCCCCAGGTCACTCAATCCGGTGGGACGCAACCGCCCCGGTAGCCCGGAAACTCGTGTATGGATCCTTCCAACTTGAACCTCAGTGGTCTACAGTCCAAGAACTAAGTGAGGTATTCTTGCAACGAACCGACAACACAGGGTCCGATGTGCATCTCCTCTCCGGGGAACTCCTCGGAAGAAGGAACCCAGTTAGACAATCCGTGCCATCATGTTGGTGGGTTTGGCAATTTCTGTTCCAAAATCGCTGGAAGATCCAAGAGCATATCAACGCCCGAGATGCGACAAGCTTATAATTCCCTGCTCTGGCTTTTAAGAGATCGCAAGCACTTTGGAATCCGTTGGGTTCATCTGTCCGACTCGTATGTGACGATCAGTATCCTCAGTAAGGGTAGAACATCCTCCAAAAGGCTTGAACCCTTGGTCCGGAAGTTTAATGCACTTTTCTTACTAGGTCAGGTGTATCCGGTACTGCTACATGTTGCATCTCTTGATAATCCAACAGATGAGGGCTCGAGGACTTTCCCCGGCGGAACACTGGCGCCGGGTGCGCCGGCTTCGTAGGGCAGGCCTTAGCCTTCATGATGCCGGTGTGACTAACAAAACCCGTGAGCGTTATTACGCTGGGTTGCGCCGGATACTGCACATAGTTAATGTTGTATGTTCTTGGGAAGCTCTGGATGAGCAGCTAGCGGACCTGGTCGAAGACCAATGGAGTGCAGGGGAGCCGCTTGGACGAGTGTCGGACAC